CATTATTTCTGTTGCTACGTCCCTGAACCACGTACCTCGCATGATTGGAGATCTGTCTGAGGAGGAGAGCAGAGTGGGCTTGGTGCTACATCCCAGCAAAACAAAGATCCGACACAACTCTAACAATACCAACCGTCGCGCCAGCGTGCCAACTCATGTTTGTATCAACGGAATACACAGATTTATACATACAGACATCTGCCTCTTGAAAGCAAATGAGAGAGGGATGGCAGAACGTTGTGCTTCGTCGGACCGATCCGCTCGGAAGTAGAAAACCGCATCGCTGCAGCGTGGGGGAAGTTCCACGCAACGCAGCAGGAGCTCACGGGCCGCAGCAATTCTGTCAAGAGCAGGATGCGGCTCTTCAGTGGCGCAGTAACTCCTACCTTGTTTTACGCTTGTGAGACTTGGGCAATGACCGAGGAGTGAGACAACCAAGTCAGAATGGCACAGTGCCACATTTTACGTGTGATAATGCACCTTCCCCGGAGACATACAACGACTATCGCCCCACCAAGGTCATGCCGCAGCGCGCCGCGAACACCAGGGAGTATCCAATCAGACCAGACAGAGAGCGGCAGGGATTTCACAAGTGAGCCTTTATCTGCGCAGACCCGCACGCAACCAGACGACGATGACCGCCTGGAGGTGGAATTTTGGGCGGATTGGATCAAGCGGTGTGCTCGGGAAGCAGAAGAATAGTTAGGCGACTTGTGCATGGAAGACCGGGTGCGATTACAACTGCTGCGCAGATGGAGATGGTTCCACAAAGTGGCAAGTGCGCAATCTTCAGAGTGGATCGTTCGAGCATATGGTGGGGCCCTTCCGAACGTCTTCAATTGTGTGCAAGGAGGCGCAGCGACAGGCTGAGACGCCGTTTGCTGGATGATGTCTTCCAGCTCGCCAAGTACGTCAGTGGGATAGAGGGCGTATCCGATCAGTCCCTGCTACAGGGAGCGACAGCTCCACACGACGTGTTGCACATCCTCCTCGAGATGGCCAGATCGGACGAATGGAGCAATTTGGAAGACGGTTTCGTTGAATATTCGATGTGATGTCTATATTCTCCTTCTTCTGGTAACAACTTGCCCGACTCCATTCATGTCGTTTCCGACTTCCAGTCCCGTCTATTTTTCTGACTGTGGTCTCGAACTTCCGATTCCGGCTCGTTTCACCCCGATTCCAATGTTTGAGTCCGGCTCGCACCTCTCCGGTTGCGGCGGCAATCTTTCGGAGTCCGGCTTTTGCCCCTCCGACTGAGTTACTGACTCAGGCTCGCGCTTCCCCGACTCATTGTCCAGTCTCTCCGACTCCTGCTCCCATCTTTCCGACCCAGTTTCCGATTCTGATTCCAATCTTTCCGATTCCGGCTCCCGCCTTTCCGACTCCGGATGTCGACCCCGATTTCTCCGGCCCCGACCCCCATTTCTGAGAGCCTAGACCGGCGATGGTTTCACCGTGTCTTGCATTTTGGTCGATTCGGCCCCACCGTGCAGTACCTGCACGGTACATGGCGCAGGCCTTGTCCGTGACCGTGTGTGGGGGATGTTGAACATTATTTATTCTAAAGAATAATTATTGTTGGGCCCCCTGGTGCGCGCCCCCCCTGCGCCGCCTAGGCCGCAGCTACATTTTCATCATTTTCGTGAGGAAGCCTCAGAAAAGAGGGTGTGTACAGGATCCGGTTGTTTTGTTGTAATCCGCTTTCCCTTGCAAAAAACAATAGAAAATGACATTTCTTGTTCTAATATAATCAAATTTCAAGAATCCCTTGCAAAAAATAAGGTAAAGTGGACATTCGCGCGCGCAAGACGAAATCCTTCCAAAACCTTAGTGTTCGCAGCGATTTTAACATAAAAACATCAAAAAACCAATGGTTTTTCAACAAAAAATTGTCAAAATCTCATCCCGCGCGCTCTTGCGGATTCGTAGGAAACCCAACACTTTTTAAACATTTCTGTCAAACGGGCTTTTGCGAGCAACTTTTTCGAACTTCTGCGACAACGGTTGCGCACCTGCCAGGGCCATCATCCCTGTCAAATAATACCATGCGGGACACATTCGTTTTTTCTTCGCGCGCGCACGCCGAAATCTCCAAAAACCATTGGGCTTCTTAAGAATTTTAGCACCGCGCATCATAAAATCACACGAATCGCACCGTAGGTCCTCGAAAAACACCTGCACGACTTTTCAAAATTTCTACCCGCGCGCGCTGTCCGAATCCGAAAAAAAACAATGGTTTTCCAACATTTATGTTACATGAGCTCGCGCGAGCTACTTTCGCACGCTCTTGGAAGGCTTAACAACTTCTGTGGGTTAAAGGCTTAACAACTTCTGTGGGTGTACGAACGTAGGCTTAACAACTTCTGTGGGTGTGTACTCCACGCCAGTGTAGTAGCCACGGTCGTCCGCAGGCCACGAAGTGAAGTGTCCGAACGTCATAGGGCGGGAAGCTGGGTGTGGGTGGTGGCGAAGAGTCGTGTGGATATTTGGTAGAGCTTGCACTGCCCCCCCACAAAGTGGGGGTATTGGCTGGCGTCGCATGAAAACCCTGGCACTGGTGAGAACACTGAGCGTTCGGGTAAAGTGATTGTTGTTGTTGTTGTTGTTGTTGTTGTTGAACATTATTACTTCTAAAGAATAATTATTGTTGGGACCCCTGGTGCATGGCCCCCTCGCCGCGCCTAGGCCGCAGCCGCATTTTCATCATTTTCGTGAGGAAGTCTCAGGCAAAACGGGTTGGTCCGGATCCGGTTGTTTTGTTACGGCCCGCTTTCCCTTGCAAAAAACAAGCTAAAGTGGACATTTCTTGTTCTAACATAACCAAACTTCAAGAATCCCTTGCAAAAAATAAGGTAAAGTGGACATTCGCGCGCGCAAGACGAAATCCTTCCAAAACCTTAGTTTTCGTAGCGATTTTAACATAAAAACATCAAAAAACCAATGGTTTTTCAACAAAAAAATGTCAAAATTTCATCCCGCGCGCTCTTGCGGATTCGTAGGAAACCCAACACTTTTTAAACATTTCTGTCAAACGGGCTTTTGCGAGCAACTTTTTCGAACTTCTGCAACAACGGTTGCGCACCTGCCAGGGCCATCATCCCTGTCAAATAATACCATGCGGGACACATTCGTTTTTTCTTCGCGCGCGCACGCCGTCGTCGTCGGCCGCGGGGCCCTGAATAGTAGCCACGGTCGTCCGCATGCCACGAAGTGAAGTGTCCGAACGTCATAGGGCGGGAAGCTGGGTGTGGGTGGTGGCGAAGAGTCGTTTGGAAATTTGGTAGAGCTTGAACCGGCCCCCCCACAAAGTGGGGGTATTGCCCGCCTCCTATGAAAACCCTGGCACTGGTGAGAACGGAGTGTCCCCACGTGCTAGTAATTGTTGTTGTTGTTGTTGTTGTTGTTGTTGTTGTTGTTGTTGTTGTTGTTGTTGTTGTTGTTGTGATTGTTGTTGTTGCTGCTGCTGCTGCTGTTGCTGTTGCTGTTGTTTTTTTTTGTTGCTGCTGCTGTTGTTTTTGGGCACCTTCAACTGAATCATAATTATGCTTGATCCCCCTCGGGTGAGTATTGTATTTATTCAATTGAAGTGCTTCCCCCAGGGCTCGTACACTGTTATTTTCCAGGGAAAACCACAAGGATCAAACTGCGCCCCTGGCCCCCAGGTTACAACAACAACGGCTCCCTCCCGAGACCTCCTCACAATTTCGCCAGGGCCCCAGCTCCCGCCTGAGATTTCCTCGTATTTTCACCAGGAATCGCGGTCTCGCTGGGTACTTCCTTTATGTAGGAATCGCTTTCTCGGCGCTCAGGAGTCGCGCTCTCGCTGGGGACTTGCTGGCAATTTATTGAAGAATCGCGTTCTTGCGTTGGAATTCCCCACAATTTACATACGCGCTGCGCTCCCGACGCTCTGGCATCCAGGAGTCGTGCTCACGCCCAGGACTCCATCACAGCTTATTTTGGAATCGGGATCTCGCTGCCCTTCGTGGCCCCGTTGCAGCCCTTCGTGGCCCTTTCGCTGCCCGTCGCGGCCCCGTTGCAGCCCTTCGTGGCCCCCTTGCTGCGCTTCATGGCCCCGTTGCAGCCCTTCGTGGCCCCCTCGCTGCCCTTCGTGGCCCCATTGCAGCCCTTCGTGGCCCCCTCGCTGCCCTTCGTGGCCCCGTTGCAGCCCTTCGTGTTTTCAGATCGCGCTGTCGCTCGAGACTTCCTCGTGATACGTGCAGGACGCACGCTTCAGAAACCCGCTTGCTCGATTTGGCCGCCTGGGCCAGCCTTTCCGACCCGCCCGTTAGGGCCTATCCGCCCGAGTTGGTTCTGCCACTTGTTTTTTGCTCCTTGCCCCCCTTCTGCTACTCTCTCTTGTGCTCCATCCTCCTCCTTTCCCCTTGCCCCTTCCTTCCATCCGTCCTCTCTTCCCCTGCCTCAGGGGCTGCACGAATTACACGTTGTAGGTAAGGAAGACCTACCCCCAAAGGGGGTACGATTGAAGACGAAAAGGGTGGACATCGAGGGTTTGGGACATACGTGTTGAGTGACACGCGGGCATATAAGAACGATCAGTCTTAACATGATTGTTGTTGTTGGTGTTGTTGATGCTGATGCTGTTAATGCTAATGATGAGTTTGCTGATGCTGATGATGATGCAGCTGCTAATGATGATGATGCTGCTGCTGGTGATGATGATGATGATGATGATGATGATGATGATGATGATGATGCTGCTGATGATGATGATGATGATGATGATGATGATGATGATGATGACGGTATTCAGGATGATGAAGGCGATACGGATTAGGTGTTGTATAATGATCACGATGAGCAGGCTCATGATTGCGATGATGCTGTTTCTTCTGGGTGCGACGACGTGGATGCTGACTCTGACGATGAGAAGGTTGTGATCGCGTGGTGGTGTCGATGGTTTTGCGTGAAGCTGAGGATGGTTCGGCTGCTGAAGGGCTGGGTGCTGTGCGTGTGTGCCCCACGGACGGCGGCAGGCCCCGCCGCTCAGCAGCGACTTTGTGGACTGCGGCGCGTGCGTGCACCCGCCCAGCCTGGAGGCCCCCCTCCCCTCCCCTCAGGACGTGGTTTGTTTTTTTGGGGGGGGCAGGAGCAAGAGGAGGAGGAGGAGGAGGAGGAGGAGGAGGAGGAGGAGGAGGAGGAGGAGGAGGAGGAGGAGGAGGAGGAAACATGAGAATACGAATCATAATCGACATACTAACCATCATAAGAGGAACAAGAAGATAAGGAGGATGATGATGATGAGGAGGAGGAGGAGGGGGAAACCACCAACCGCCAAGAAATCGAGGCGTGTAAGTTGCAGTGCGCCGACAGGCCACGCAATCGAGAACATAGCCCCCTTCACCCTTCACCCATCACCCAATAGATCCGTCATTTTCTTTTTCAGGCATCCCCCAGATTACCAGCACCACTTGCGCGGCCACCACGGCCACGTCAGCAAACCCTGCTCGACCCCGCCGACAGCGATAACAACGAGCAGCAGCACGAGTAATGGTACGTGTCTCGTCTGCACGTCCACTACTTTATCAACACACGCAACACCAGTTTTACGCTGCACGAGAACTCTTCGACGCGCACCACAGCGCACAACGACCACCGCGACACCCACCCCAGGCTCCAGCAACGGCAGCACCGTGGGGATCAAGCGCGAGCGGACCCGGAACTGCGCCGCCACCCTGGAGGTCGACGGCGAGCCGTCCACGAAGCAGAGGAGTTCTTGACGCTTCGCGCATCCCCGCCAGCGTACAATTCGTTTGCCTTCCCGGTGGTCTCGCCCCTGGAATGGTTGCACTTCAGCCGCCTGGCACACCTGGCACCTCTTGCAGCTCTGCCTCCAGTTCCCGGCGTCGCTCCTCGGCGTCCCTCGGCGGCAGTTTCGGCGGCCGTTAGTTCGCGCGCTTAGGCAATGAGGTTTGGTTCGTACCCCGGGCTGTTTTCGGACGCCGCCTGCGCTTCCGCTTTCGCCCGCGAGGGAACATATTCCCGCCAGCCCATCCAGAAACGATGCCCAGGGGAATCGCCTCCCAGAGTCTCCTCGGATGTCTCTTATAAGCTTTTTGGAGGCCTCATGGATCGTCTTGGGGGCCTCTTGGCGGTCCCAGTCTCTTGGAGCGTCTTGGGTGCCTCTTGGGGCCTACTGGGCGCCTCTTGGGGCCCTCTTGAGGCGCTTTTGGGAGCCTTGGAATTGTGTGGTGGGGGAGAGGGGTGGGAAGGGGGGAGCAGGGAAGGAGGGGGGCGGAAGTGGAGGAGGACAGGGGGTGGATGAAGAGCAGGGGGAGGGTGGCGGAGGGCGACGGTCGTTGAGACCTGCGGTGGGGCGCGCGTTGGTTTCAGCCGAGAGTTCGGGCAGCTAGCGGCATGGCATGCAGCCTGGCGCCCTGATAACCAGAGGATGCACCCTGCAGGCGCGAGATCTGGTGTGCTCTTCCTACGAATCTTTTGCCCCACTCCTCCTGCCCGCCCCGCCCCCTCTTCCTCTTCCTCCTGCCGCCCTGCTGCCCTTGTGCCTTCCCGGCCCTCCCGCCTCCCCTTGCCCTCCTGCCCTCCTGCTTGCCTTAAGTCGGCCCTGTCCCTCCACAGGAGGGATATTCCAAAATAGTGCAGGAAAGCTCTGGGGACGTTTTTTTTTTTTTTTTTTTGGTTGTTTTTTTTGTAGACAGAATAGAATAATATAATTTTTTATGTTTTTTGAGTATGTAGGATTTGTCGTTTTACTTTTCGTCCTGAATCCCCCCTGTAGGGGGACATGCCCGACCTAACTCTCGTGCCCTCGGGCCGCCAGCCCACAGGGTTACCAGCGCTTCGTGGACGACGCGGTCGCGAAGGGCGCGCGGGTGCTCGCTGGCGGCGGCAGGAACAAGGAGCGGCGAGGGCCATGTTGCTCCCGTCGTGTTGAAGGACCACATCGCAGAAGTAATTTCGAGCTCCCGGAAGAAATGTCGAAACAGTGTCGAAACAGTGTCTGCCGAGTGTCTACCAGGGCCCGACACGTGAAAACCATAGGGTTTCGGTATTTTTTTGGTGCTCGAAATTCTTTTGCGTGATCGAGGCTGAACTAGGTTGGAACATCATAAGGCGAGGGCTCGCCAACCGCTGTCGTCGACGGCGTCGGCGTCCGGCGCCTCCGTCATTTCGAGTTTCTGGAGTTTTTGAGCAAGCTGCCTTCGGTTGCTCGTTCTCGCGGCGGCTGACCGTGCCGGCCAGGCTTGTTCTTTGAGGATGCGTCTACGGGGCCCGAATCTACACCACCGCCACCACATCCCTTACCCCCTCAGTTTCTCAGGAAAGAGGAGAGGAAGAGGAGGGTAGAGGAGGGAGAAGGAGTGGAAGCGGTGTTGGTGTAGACTCTTGACGCCCGCAGCGTCGTCGATCTGCTCGGGCTGGGGCGCTGCACTCCGCCAGCACTGGGCGGCATCCGCGTAGAACCCTTCGCGGACCGTCCCCGCTCCCGAGGCGTGGGGCGGAACGAGGGGAGGAAAGGGGGGGGGGGCAGGGGCACTCGGAGGGCGCGGGGACGAGGTGGGGGAGGCCAGGAGAAGGAGACGGGATGGCAGGGCACGGGGGAGGGGGACCTCGGGGGGGGGGGGGCAGCGGGGGAGGGGCAGAGAGGGCGTGGGGAGGGGATGCGCGTGGAGGGAGCGGGAGAAGCGCCGGCCGCCCGCCGCCCCGGACCCCCCCTTGCCAAACCGCGGCCGCCGGGTCGAGCCTTCCGCTCGCTCCCCTCGTCGCAGATCCGACCGCCCTCTCGCGCGCCAGAGGCCCTGCACCCTCCGCTCCCCCTCGGAGGCGACGACAGGTGCGAATTGTCCAGGGCGGGCAATACATGTAACCAGTGGTCATTCTTCACGCTCCCTTTGCCTTCTTCTGCCGCGCCGCCTTGGCCCTCCAACTGAGGGTTGGCGGCGCCCCACATTCCGATAGTATTGACATTGATGTGTTTTGGCTCAATCTTTTTGCGTTGGGTAATAAGATCCGCGCACGCGCGCGCGCCCTCTCTTCGGTCGGGCGCTCCTGTGTGCACACGTTTATTCCAACACATTCGCTTACCGGACGTATTCGCCATGTCAACACGGTCCACATCACTAAGTCGCGGCATGGGGCCTGTCTTGAGCGATTGTTTTATAGAGTATGGAAGCACTGGCATTATACACCATATTCTACGAATGACATTATTGCTGATTGGGGGATTACTTGGCAAAATGCTGGTTGTCAGCCGAAATCGTCACCGCGAGGTCTCCGCGACAATGTGTCAAGCGTCGGGGATGTTGAACCAAACTATAATGGAATGATGGCGGGCCAGAGTAAGATCTTCAATGATGGAAAAGGATATTGGGCCCGTGGCTACCAGACAAGGACGTGGTGAATTAAACTTGGGTAAGATGACCGTCGCGTCGGCGTCCAGTGACAGGGTCACCAGTGCGGCCGCGGGTCTTCCGCATAAGTTCAGGAAGCCAGATTTTGCAAGCCGCGCGGGCTCATCTTCGAGCCGCGGCGTGGGCCGCTCGCGGGATAGGATGAAATATCGTGGTATGGGAGTCGGGAGCCCCCGCGGCCCCCCCTATCGGCGTCGGCCAACCAGGCCTACGTCATCAACTCCGATTCCTCTGGATCCGATGGCGTCGTCCGCGTGTCGTCGGAGGCCGATAGGTCGGAGAAATCAACGCCGCCTCCTTCCAGCATGGAAGGGGAGCGTCAGCCTTTCGACAACGGATCGAACATCTGTGATGCTATGCCGACGCCGGGGGCTGGGAGCGTGGATGCAGCGATCCGTGGATCAACGGCCGGGGACAATTATGTTGCCGGGGCTTCCTCGCATCGATGCACCCATTGGCGCGGCGAGCGGGCGAGGCGAGACATCGGACATTGAAGTAGAAGGTGCCGTCTCTCCCGAAGATACTTTGCCACAAGTAGTGGGGCCAGAGGACTTGAGAGGACCGGCGTCCAGGCAGCTTCGACCACCTCTGGAACTGTCAGTGACGTATCCGATAGGAAAGCGGCCCAAGACGGATGGGAACCCTGTGTGCGAGCAGGGGGATGGCAAGGGGAACAATGTTCCCGAATCACCGTGTGTGTGTGTGTGTGTGTGCGTGCGTGCGTGCGTGCGTGTGTGTGTGTGTGTGTGTCTGTGTGTGTGTGTGTGTGTGTCGCGGGGTCGGTCGCGTGGCGTGTCGCGGGGGCGAGGTGGGTCGCGGGGTGGGTCGCGGGCGAAGGCGATGGCGACGACAACAACACCGCCGCCACCAACAACAACAGCAGCAACAACAACAATCATTTTAAGGCTGCTCGCTCTCCTCTGTTCGCGTGCCATTCGACACGTGTACTCCGAGCCCTCGATGCCCGCCCTCTTCGTCTTCGATCGTACTCCCTTGGGGGTATATTTTCCTTACCTGCAGCGTGTATTTTGTGCAGCCCGCAAGGCAGGGGAAGAGATGGCGGATGGAAAAGGCAATGGGGGCAGGGAGGTAAACGGAACACGAGAGAAAGTAGCATGAAAGGGGGCTAGGAGCAGGAAGCACGCGGCAGAACCAGATGGGTAGATCGGGCGGGTAGGCCGTAGCGGGTGGGTCGGGACGGCGGGCCCAGGCGGCCAGGTCGAACAGGCGGGTTGCTGAAGCGTGCGTCCTGCATGGATCGCGAGGAAGTCTCGAGCGACAACGCGATTCCCAAAAACATCATTAGGAAATCCAGAGCGAAAGCGTGATTCCTGAGTGTCGAGGACGCAGCGTCTGAATACATCGCAAGGAGGTCCTACGCGAGAGCGCGATTTCTGCATGCATAGTGAGGAAGTCCCGTGCGAGAGCGCGATGAGGTAATATATTTTGAGGAAGTATCAAGCGGGAGCCGTTCCACTCTCACTGCAGAAGATAATTATTGTCCTCTGGTGACCATCCATTTTTCCAATGGGAGTGCTTTCCCCAGGGCTCCCACCCTGTATTTTAGCAGGGGAAGTCACGAGGCTCAAACTGCGTTGTTTGCCCCCGGTTTACAACAACAGCGGCTCCCGCCTGAGACGCCCTCACAATTGATTCCCACATCGCGCTTTCGCGCGGGCCTTCCTCACAACGTGTATACGAATCGCGCTCTCGCGTGGGACTTCCTCGCATTTTATTCAGACGATGCGCCCTCGGCGCTCAGGAATCAAGCTCTCGCTTTAGCTGTTGTCAAGACTTACTTGGGAATCACGCTGTCGTTCGAGTCTTCCTCGCGATTCATGCAGGACCCACGTTTCAGCAACCCGCCTGCTCGACCTGGTCGCCTGGGCCCGCCGTCCCGACCTGCCCGCCGTGGGTCTGCCCACCCGATCCGCCCGTTTGGTTCTACCAGTTGTTTTCTGCTCCTTAACCCCCTCCTGCTAATTTTTCTCGTGCTCCATTCTTTTCCCTCCCTGGTTCACCCGTTTTTTCTTTCTGTGTTTTAGAGGCTGCATTAACTGTGCGTGGCAGGTAAGGAAAACATGCCCCGAAGACGACGATGGCGCGTACCGAGGGTCAGGGATCTACGAATTGATTGGCACGTGAACAGATAGGAGCGAACAGTCTGAACATGATTGTTGTTTAACTCATTTTTGAAGAATAACTATTGTTGATCCCCCCTCACCGGTGCATGCTGTTTTTCAATCAAAATGCGCCCTGGACGCTCGCACCCTGTTTTTTGAAAGGGAAGGTCTCGGTGCTCAAACTGTGCCCCTGGCCCCCCAGACTACAACAACAGCGGCTCCCGCCTGAGACTCCTTCCGAATTTACTCAGGACCCCCCCTCCCGTCCGAGATTTCCTCCCAATTTACTCAGGAACGGCGCTCCCGCTTGAGATTTCCTCACATTTTAGTCCGGGTCAAACTGCGTTGTTGCTCCCCCGGGCTACAACAACAACGGCTCCCGCCTGAGACTTTTTGTCCTTTCCCTTTTGTTCCCCTGTTTAGGGGCTTCTCCAATTACACGTGGCCAGACAGGAATATGAGCCCCCACAAAGGGGTACGATCGAAGACGAAGAGGGCGGGTATTCATGGTTTGGGATATGCATAGTGAATGACACGCGGGCCGGTCGGAGCGAACAGTCTTGTAATGATTGTTGTTGTTGCTGCTGCTGCTGGTGTCGTTGTTGTTGCTGCTGCTGTTGTTGTTGTTCTTGTTTTTGAACTCTCACTATTGCATAATAGTTATTGTTGATCCACCCACCCAGTGACCATTGTGTTTTTTAATTGAAATGCTTCCCCTGGGCCCCGCACTCTGCTTTTTATCAGGGGAAGTCACTCGGCTCAAACTGTGTTGTTAGCCCCCGGATTACAGCAACAACGGCTCCCGCGTGGTTTTCTTTGCAATTTAACGAGGGCTTCCGCTCCCGGCTGATATTTCTTCGCATTGTACTCAGGAATCGCGCTTTCTTAGGGGACTTCCTAACAGTATTCAGAAGAGCACGAAGTATTGATATGGATCGTTTTCGAGAGTTCCAGGTTTTCCCGTCCTTCCGCGCGGGCTCCAGGGACGAATGGTCGAGCGCGTTCCGTCGCGCAGGTTCTTTGCGTGATGCGCGCGGTGCATTCTCGCGCGCATCGGAACGCCCTCGGAGATTCCAAGCTGCATTCTGTTTTGTTTTTGGGGAGTCCGCGAGTCGCAGTTGCCGTGGCGCGATTTTACAAAGGCAACCCTTTCGAGTGCTGTTCGCGGGCGCGGGGCGCTGCGCCCAATCGCGCACGGCGCGGTGCGTGAATCAGCCGGTTGGGCCCGTCAGATCGCCCAGAACTCATTTCCGGATTGTAGAATGTTTCAAGAAAGCGCCGCTTTTTTAGTTGCAGAAGCGGTTCCGTAATTTTTTAAGAAAGGACTCCAAACAATTCCAAGAAACAGTTTTGAGGGGTGGATTGCGTTCGCCGCTCATGACATCGGAATAATTCTGTAACCCAGAAATGTTCGACATGAATTCCGGAATGTTTCAGAAACGATACCGGATTAGTCAAGATCGACTCCAGGATTCCATCAATAGGCCGGACTTTTTCACAAACGTTCTTCGATATTTCAAATCTACCTTAGGATTTTGTCCAGAGTCGCGCGTGATTTGCCTTACCAGCTCTTTGGAGACCCCCCGCGGCGCGCAGTGCGCGGCGGCGGGCGACGGGGCTGTGCGCCACCGTCCCCCCGCGCGCTCGGCAACGATAGTGGGGATCAGGAAATGCCGAATAACCCCTACGGACGACTGCTCGATTGCGAATGGGTGACCGACCAGCGGCGTCAGGGCGGAGTAAACAATATTCGACGCAAAGTGTACCCCGCGCGAAGGCTGTTAGACATCCCGGAATCCCCGGAGCGCATCAATAACAAGTTGTGCCAACATTTTCCCGTCTTAAATATACTCAGGAATCGCTCTCCCGGCGTTCTAGAGTCGCGCTCTCACTTGAACGTTGCTTGCAATTCTAGCCGCTTCGCGTGACCCCACCAGCCCCATCCAGAAACGATGCCCAAAGGAATTGCCTCGATCAGGGGAGTGGGCAGCGCACGGAGGAAGGGTCCCCCAGTGGAGGCCTCTTGAAATGTATTTCTAGGCCTCCTAGATGGGGTCCGAGTGGATGGGGTCGGAGGACCGCGCTGTATCGTCGATGCATCGGCGATGCGGCTCGATGTGGAGCCCGATTTTCTCCACGCTGGGGTCGCCGATGCATCGCCGATGTCGCCGGTGCATCGCCGATGCATCGGCGATGTATCGCCGATGTTTCGGCGATGCGGTGCGATCCTCCGACCCCATCTATTCCGACCCCATCTAGGAGGCCTCTAGTATTGGGGTCTTCTTGGCGGTCCCAGACGCCTCTTTGAGCGTCTTGGGTGCCTCGATTGCTTCTTGAGGCCTCTTGGGGGTCTGTTGGGAGCCTCTTGGAGGCCTCTTCGGCGCCAGTTGGGGCCTCCTGGGGCCTCCTGGGCGCTCTTGGATGGATTTCTCCAAGGTTTTGGAATGATTTGGCCTCTTCGGGGCCTCCTGGGGGAGTTCTTTTGGCCACTTGGAGCCGTCTTGGAGCGGTCTTGGTGCCTCTTGGAGCATCGTGAGAGCCATCTTGAGGCATCTTGGGATATCTTGAACCATTTTGGAGGTCATTTTGGGCTCTCCCAGGCGCTCTTGGAGTCATCTTAATCAGCGCCCCCCTGCCCAGGAGGCCAACATGTTGCCAAAACCATCGTGAACTCAATGGTTTTAGCATTCTCGCCGAGGCCTCTTGGAGCGTCTTGGGTGCCTCTTGGGGGCCTCTTGGGGCCTCTTGGGGGTCTCTTGGGAGCTTTTTGGGGGCATCCTGGGTGCCTCTGGGGGGCCTCTTGGGGCCTCCTGGCCACCTCTTGGGGCTTTCTTGGGGCACCCTTGGGAGCCTTGGAGGCGCTCTCGGGGCCTTCGAAGGAGATCGGTCAAACAAGAGGGGAGCATTAATTAGCGTGGCCCCCCAGAAGGCCAACATGGGGCCAAAACCTCAGTAACATCAGTGATTGTGGCTTCCTCGCCGAGGCCGTTTCGGACGCTCCGACGACTCGCGGAAACCCCTGTACAGGTCCATGGGGAGGGGGTAGGGTGAGGGGCGACCCCTTCCCCGAAGGGGAAGACGGAGGGGTGGAAGAGGAAACGCCCTAAACCACCGACGCCCAGAGGGCTGGTGGGATTTACTCACGAATCGCGCTCTTGCGTTGGAACTCATCGCAATTTACTCAAGCGCCGCGTTCCCGACACGCAGGCACCCAGGACTCGGATCTCGCTGCCCTTGGTGGCGCCGTTGCAGTATTTCGTGGCTCCCTCGCTGCCCCTCGTGGCCCCGTTGCAGCCCTTCGTGGCCGCCCTCGCTGCCCCTCGTGGCCCCGTTGCAGCCCTTCGTGGCCCCCTCGCTGCCTCGTGGCCCCGTTGCAGCCCTTCGTGGCCCCCTCGCTGCCTTTCGTGGCCCCGCTGTCGCCCTTCGTGGCCCCTTTGCTGCCCTTCGTGGCCCCGTTGCAGCCCTTCGTGGCCCCCTCACTGCCCTTCGTGGCCCCGTTGCAGCCCTTCGTGGCCCCCTCGCTGCCCCTCGTGGCCCCGTTGCAGCCCTTCGTGGCCCCCTCGCTGCCCTCCGTGGCCCCGTTGCAGCCCTTCGTGGCCCCCTCGCTGCCTTTCGCCCCGCCGTCTGTCGCCCCCTTCGTGGCCCCGCCCCTTCGTGGCCCGTTGCAGCCCTTCGCCTTTCGCAGCCCCGTTTGCAGCTGCCCTTCGTGGCCCCGCCCCTCGCTGCCCTTCGTGGCCCCGTTGCAGCCCTTCGTTGCCCCCTCGCTGCTCTTCGTGGCCCCGTTGCAGCCCTTCGTGGCCCCCTCGCTGCCCTCCGTGGCCTCGTTGCAGCCCTTCGTGGCCCCTTTGCTGCCAGTCGTGGCCCCGTTGCAACCCTTCGTTGCCCCCTCGCTGCTATGCGTGGCCCCGTATATGTATGCCCTTTGTGTCCCCCAATCGTTCGCGCCCGTTGTGGCCCCATATGCATGCCTTTCGTGGCCCCGCTGTCGCCCCTCGTGGCCCCCTCGTTGCCTTCCGTGGCCCCGTTGCTCCCCTCAGTGGCCCCGTCCTTGACCTCTGCGGTCCAATATACGTATGCCCTTCGCGGCCCCCGCTCGTTCGCGCCAGTCGTGGCCCCATATGCATGCCCTTCGTGGCCCCGCTGTCGCCCTTTGTGGCCCCCTCGCTGCCCTACGTGTCCCCGTTGCTACCCTCAGTGGCCACGTCGTTGCTTTCTGTGGCCCCGCAGTATCTGCCCTTCGTGGCCCTCGCTCGTTCGCGCCCGTCGTGGCCCCATACGCACGCCCTTCGTGGTCCCGCTGTCACCCTTCGTGGCTCCCTCGCTGCCCTTCGTGGCCCCATCACTGCCCTTCGTGGTCCCGCTGTCGCTCTTGCTCTCGCTCTCGCTCTCGCTCTCGCTTTTGCTCGTTGTCGTCGTCGTCGTCGTCGTCGTCGTGGTCGGTCCTCTATCCGTCCCTCTTCTTGGGTTTGGGTTGCCGCCGGTCAGCGCTGCCGCTGGCCAGGCCGACGGTCCGTGGCCGCCCCGCCGATTGCCAGGGCCGTGCTTACAGGGAAGAAGAACGATATACCCCCCCAAAGGGGGTACGATCGAAAACGAAGAAGGCAGGTATCGAGGGTTTGGGAAATACACGTTGCATGACACTCGAGCAGATAAAAGCGGACAGTATTCAACTGATTGTTGTTCTCGTTTTTCCGTAAATTGGGGGCCGACAATTTAGTTTGATGACGTTTCGCTTCCCCTTAAAGAAAAAACAAGGGGCGAGTCCCATGAGCAGCACTTCGATGGAAATAATAAAACGGCTGCTGAGGATGGGGGGTCAACAAACATATTTCCAGAAGTGACACATTCAACAACAGCAGCAACAACACCACCAACAACAGCAACACCAACAACAATCGGCATCACCCCAACATACTTATACTGTATGTGCGTCGCCCCCCCAGGGGCGACGCGCGCACCGAGAAATCTTATAGTATATGCGTCGCGGCGTGCGCTTTCTGGCCACACCGCTCGGGAAACGATATACTACAAGATGGGTATACTATATGCTTGGGTCGGACGCGCGCCTCCAAGGAGAACATATAGTATTAGTATGTCTCTGTGCGTCCCAAACAACACCAACAACAGCACCACCAACAACAGACAAGCATAATCCGCGCGGCAAAATCCCACTTCAGCATAATCCGCGCGGCGGCATCCCTCACTCTGATACACCGATGCCGCTGCCCGTCCATCGTCGCCACAGCTGGATTCGCCTCAAAATCTTGGCCAGAAGGCGCCCCCTGCGAGGCCCAGGGACCAGTGCAAGGACCGACCACAACGCTGTATAGCTTGGTTAGAGTCCTTGTTTTGTTATTCGTTTCGTTTTTCTTTGTTGCTTCGCTCGTTCCGTTGTTCGTTGCTGTTTCATGCGCCCCGTTTCGTTGTTCTTCTCGTTTGGCACGGACTTCATTTTCAATGTTCGTTTTAAGCGGCGGGCTTTGTTTCGGTGTTCGTTGTAAGCGCCGTTTTGTTTAAAACATCGTTGTGGTCTGTCCTAGCAGCAGTGGAAGTGGAATCGGGATCGTCTTGTCGAGGTCGATTCGGGGAGTGTACCATGCTGTTTTTCGTCTTTGTTGGACGTTCTTGCACATCCTGGGGAGGGCACCGAGGGCACCGATGTTCTGTGTGTTTTGGCTGGCGGAGGGTCTCATGCTCTTGACGGATGCTCTTCTGGCTTAGGTCCGACTGCATCCCACGTCTCCCCTGGATGTCCCCAGAGGCCCCACCTGGCTTGTGGAGGCCTCCGGAGGCCCCAAGAGGTTGAAGACACAGCCCCCCGCTTCGCCGCCCCCCCCCCCTCCTTCGCCCCCCTTTTCGCTCAGGAGTTCCCGGACGGCCAGTTCTTCCAGCCCACGGTGCTGGCAGATGTGACCGAGGATGGAGAGGGGACCTGGGCGCCACTTCCGCCGCCCTGGTCGCCCGATCCAGGCCGTCCTCCTCGGGCCCCGCCCCAGCGGCCGCCTTCCCACTCCTCTGGCATCCCTGGCCGCCTCCGCTCCCTGCACCAGACCGGCCTCCTCCTGGAGCCCCTTCCGCTTCTCCCCTGCTCCTTCACAGTTCTAGACGCTTCGCGTGACCCCACCAGCATCCGCGGCCCCCGCGCGCGCTCGGCAATTTAGTCGCGGCCGTAGCCCGCCCGCGACCTCCCGCCGCTGGCGCTTCCGCCTGCGGCTGTAAAAAGAAAAGTGACCCCACCAGCCCATCCAGAACCATCCAGAAACGATGCCCAGAGGAAGTACCTCGATCAGGGAAGTGGGCAGCACACAGAGGAAGGGTCTCCCAGTGGAGGCCTCTTGGAGCGTCTTGGGGACCTCTTGGCGATCCCGGACGCCTCTTAGGTCGTCTTGGGTGCTTCAGAGAGCTTCTTGGGGCCTCTTGAGGGTCTCTTGGGGGCCTCTTGGAGGCCTCTGGGGCGCCTGTTGGGGCCTCCTGGGGCCTCCTGGGCGCCTCTTGGGGCCCCTTTTGAAACGCTCTTGGGAGCCTTGGGAGCGCTCCTGGAGCCCTCTTGGGCCATCTTGGAGCCATCTTGAAGCCTCGGATGGCCATCGGAAGCGACAAGGCGAGAAAGCCCAAAACATGGATTTTCCATAGGTTTTGGAAGGATTTTGGCGTCTTCGGGACCTCCTGGGGGAGCTCTTTGGCCACTTGAAGCCGTCTTGGAGCGGTCTTGGGGCCTCTTGGAGCATCGTGGGAGCCATCTTGAGGCATCTTGGGATATCTTGAGCCATCTTGGAGGTCATCTTGGGCTCTCCCAGGCGCTCTTGGAGTCATCTGAAGCAGTGCCCCCCCTAGGAGGCCAAAATGTGGCCAAAACCGTAGTAAAATCAGGGATTTTGGCATTCTCGCCGATGCCTCTTGGAGCGTCTTGGGTGCCTCTGGGGGGCCTCTTGGGGCCTCTTGGGGGTCTCTTGGGAGCCTCTTGGGGGCATCCTGGGGGCCTCTTGGGAGCTTCTTGGGGCCATCTTGGGGCCCTCTTGGGGCCCTCTTGGGGCCTCTTGGGGCCTCCTGGGCGCCTCTTGGGGCCATCTTGGAGGAGATCGATCAAAGAGGGGGTCCCTCAATTAGGGCCCCCCCTCGGAGAAGCCAAAAGGGGGCCAACATCTGTGTAAAACCAATGATTTTGGCTTCCTCGCCGAGGCCATCTTGGACGCTCCAACCCCTCGCGAAACCCCCGTCCAGGTCCAGGGGGGGGGGGTAGGGGGAGAGGTCAAGTTACCCCCTCCCCGCCCGCAAGCCGTCTCGTTCACTCCCACCCGCCCTCCCGCCACATACGTAACACCCGAGTCTGGCCCGAGCCTCAGCATATTCAGCAGTCGTCTTGGGATGGGCAGCTACTGGGGACCAATCAGCCGCCGCCGCCGCCGCCGGGCCGCCGCCGCCGCCGCCGCCGCCGCCGCCGCCGCCGCCGCCGCCGCCGCCGCCGCCGCCGCCGCCGCCGCCGCCGCCGCCGCCGCCGCCGCCGCCGCCGCCCCCCCCCCCGCCCGCCGCCGCAGCCGCTGCCGCCACCGCTACCGCCGCCGCCGCCGCCGCCGCCGCCGCCGCCGCCGCCGCCGCTCAGCCGCCGCCGCCGCCGCCGCCGCCGCCACCGCCGCCACCGCTACCGCCGCCGCCGCTACCGCCGCCGCCCCCCCGCTGCCAAACCGCCGCCGCAGCCGCTGCCGCTGCCGCCGCCGCCCCCCCCCGCTGCCGCCGCCGCCGCCGCCGCCACAGCCGCCGCAGCCGCCGCCACCGCCGCCGCAGCCGCCGCAGCCGCCGCCGCCGCCAAGTGTACCCTGTATTGTTTTTTGACAGGGATGGGGGGGGGGGGGGGGGGGCGCATCGGGTTGGCTGCGCATGTTCCGAATTTGGAGGCGAAGTGTGTTTGCATGGTTTTTTACAAAGGGATTGTGGTGGGGGGGTTGGCATGGACCCTGGTTGGCCCCCAGTCGCCGGGGGGAGGGGGTGTTTATTTAATCGCTTCGCTCATTCCGCCGGCCCATAATGCGTAATCGCCGGGGTTTGGCTGCGCGTCCGTGAGCCATGCTGCGCTGATAAGGGGGGGACGTTGTTTTCGGTGGTGGGTGCACCAGTCCGGTGTAGTTGGTTCGACGTTTGCGGCTGTCAGTGGTTTGTGGCGCCATCGTCTGCTCTCATGGGGCTCGCGGATGGTGGTTTGGCGCGGTCCGCCAATGGAACCCCGCTTTCTGGAGGTTCCAGGGTTCGGTCGGGCTTTGCCTGCGGTTGCCTCGGCGTGTTTAGGGGTGCTCTGTTTGTGGTGCGAGGGTGTTTGAGTCAGTGGTCTTCGTACTTGGATGCATCGTTTGCAATTGTGGGTCCGTTCGCATACGGTCATGCCTATGATCGGGGAGGGGACATTTGGGAACCAAGTTTGGTCGTGGACAAAACGTGTTTTTTCGAGGCCGTTTGGGGTCTCTTGGGAAGCCTCTCGAGGGCTTCGTGGCAGTATTTCTAGAGCCTCCTGGGGCCTCCTGGGGGCCTCTTGGGGCCTGTTGGGGGCCTCTTGGGGCCTCTCGGGCGCCTCTTGGGGGCGTTATGAAGTCTCCTGGGGACGTCTTGCGGCGTAGAGCGCGAAGTGTCCGTTCCGGTCCCTCGTCGGGGCCCGGTCTTGGAGCCGTCTTGGGGGCATCTTGGGCCATCTTGGAGGTTTCTGGGGGTCTCTTAAGGGCCCTCTGGGGTCGTTTCGGAACGGTCTTGGACCCTCGTAGGCCGTACTGGGGCGACATTGAGGGCTTTGTGGGCCGTCTTGGAGCGCTAGTAAACCGAAGAGGCGAGAACGCCAAAATCCTCAAGAAACAAATGAAAATCATCAATTTTGGCTTGTTGGGGGCCTCTTGGGAGGTCTCTTGGACGCATCTTGGGGCGTCTTGGGAGCATCTTGGGCCGTCTTGAGGCCTCTTGGGGGCGTTATGAGGTCTCCTGGGGACGTCTTGCGGCTTAGAGCGCGAAATGTCCGTTCCGGTCCCCCGTCGGGGCCCGGTCTTGCAGCCGTCTTGGGGGCATCTTGGGCCATCTTGGAGGTTTCTGGGGGTCTCTTAGGGCCCTCTGGGGTCGTTTCGGAACGGTCTTGAACCCTCGTAGGCCGTATTGGGGCGACATTGAGGGCTTTGTGGGCCGTCTTGGAGCGCTAGTAAGCCGAAGAGGCGAGAACGCCAAAATCTCAAAAAACAATGAAAATCATCAATTTTGGCTTGTTGGGGGCCTCTTGGGAGGTCTCTTGGACGCATCTTGGGGCGTCTTGGGAGCATCTTGGGCCGTCTTGAGGCCTCTTGGGGGCGTTATGAGGTCTCCTGGGGACGTCTTGCGGCTTAGAGCGCGAAATGTCCGTTCCGGTCCCCCGTCGGGGCCCGGTCTTGCAGCCGTCTTGGGGGCATCTTGGGCCATCTTGGAGGTTTCTGGGGGTCTCTTAGGGCCCTCTGGGGTCGTTTCGGAACGGTCTTGAACCCTCGTGGGCCGTAATGGGGCGATATTGAGGGCTTTTTGGGCCGTCTTGGAGCGCTAGGAAGCCGAAGAGGCGAGAACGCCAAGATCATCAAAAAAGCAATGAAAATAATCAATTTTGGCTTCTTGGGGGCCTCTTGAGAGGTCTCTTGGACGCATCTTGGGGCGTCTTGGGAGCATCTTGGGCCGCCTTGAGGCCATCTGGGCCGTCTTGGGGCGCTCTTGGCTTCAGGCTGCTGGGCCTGCCACATATTTGGCGTCTCCTTGGAGCGCTCCTGGAGCGCTCCAGAGGCCTCCAGGGCCGCGCCCAGGAAGTCCGGTATCTCTGGCCCCCACCCTGCCGGGGACCTGCCGGGGTACTTTTCGCCCGGGGACTCCTAGGGGCCGCCCCGCGCGCGCGCGAACTAGAAATACTGTTTACCTGTTACCGGAGATCTTAGCACGCCCTGGCCAGTTGGGCCGGCGAATTGATAGGGAACAATGATCAAGACACCCTCCCCGCCCGCAAGCCGTCTCGCTCACTCCCGCCCGCCCTCCCAACACATACGTAGCACCCGAGTCTGGCCCGAGCCTGAGCATATTCAGCAGTCGTCTTTGGATGGGCAGCTACTGGGGGCCAATCCGCCGCCGCCGCCGCCGCTTCCGCCGCCGCCGCCGCCGCCGCCGCCGCCGCCGCCGCTGCCCGCCGCCGCCGCCTGCCGCCGCCGCCGCCGCCGCCTGCCGCCGCCGCCGCCGCCGCGCCGCCGCCGCCGCAGCCGCTGCCGCCACCGCCGCCGCCGCCGCCGCCGCCGCCGCCGCGCCCCCGCTACCAAACCGCCGCCGCCGCTGCAGCCGCTGCCGCCGCTGCCGCACCGCCGCCGCACCGCCGCCGCCGCCGCCGCCGCCGCAGCCGCCGCCGCCGCCGCCGCCACCGCCGCAGCCGCCGCAGCCGCCGCCGCCGCCGCCAAGTGTACTATGTATTGTTTTTTGACAGGGATGGTCGGGGTTGGCCGCATCGGGTTGGCTGCGCATGTTTCGAATTTGGAGGCAGAGTGTGGTTTGCATTGTTTTTTGCAAAGAATGGTGGTGGGGGGGTTGGCATGGACCCTGGTTGGCCCCCAGTCGCCCGGGGGAGGGGGTGTTTATTAATAGGGAACAGTGATACAGTGATAAACCCCTCTCCGAAGGGGAAGCAGGGGGTGGAAGAGGAAACGCCTTAAACCACCTACGCTCAGAGGGCTGGTGTGATTACGCAAAATGAAAACTATTCTCCTCTCGTCCCTGACTCTGTCCGAAGAGTGTCCCGTCCTCTCCGCGTATTGTTTTTTGTTGAATATGTTTTTTTCGACGTGTTTGTTCAATCCGGTCGTTTCTGGTTCTTTCAAAATGGCGCTCCCACTGCAGCGCCGCCCTCATATCTGCGCTTCGGTCAGTCAAAATCGGGCTCCCGCTGCAGCGCTGGCTTCGTTCCCGCGCCTCTGGACGGCATTTGGCATTCGAAAGCGCCCGCATTGCGCAGGCACGGATGCGAAGGACATGGAGCCGGCATTCCGGACAGGCCCTGTCTTCTCGTAGACGGGCCATTTACCCTCCAAGTAATCCGGTGCCACGCACGGCATGCAATGTGATGTTGTGTTGTGCACCGCTGTGCGATGCCATGTTTTTCGATGCTTCGCTTTGTGAATCAATGCTTCACTACGTAGTGCCACGCCATGCTATTACATACTATGCTCTGCCATGCCCTTCTACGCCATGCTTTTCCATCCGTCGCGTACATTCTTGGGATCATTGCTTGCTCGGCATCCGACTGTGCGAATAGAAAAGAGATCTACGCCATGGTAAGGGATGGGAGGGGGGGGTAGGACGCCAGATGTGACGCTAGCACAGCTAGCTGTCCACCTCACCTCCGCCTTCTCCCCCCTTCCAGCCTTCCGCCTCCTCCCTCCCTTCTCCCTCCTTCGTTCCAGCTGGCTTCCCTCATCCTCCTCCAGCTCTTCCCCATCTTCCTTCTCCTTCCCCTTTTCCTTTCCCTCTATCTCTCCTGGCTCTGCCTCCCAAGCCCCCGCCTCGTCGTTGTCCTCGTCCTCGTCCTCCTCCTCTTCCTCCTCGTCCTCCGCTTCCTCCTCCTATCCCTTGTTTCCTGATGGCATGAGAGTGCTTCGCACGCTGCCACACCCAGCTCAGCCCCCGAGGGCTGAGCTGGTGTTGAAAAGGCGGCACACCAACCGAGAGGAGGGGCTTCCCCAGGAGGAGAGGGAGCACGAGGGAAAGGGACGACCCGAGAGGGCAAACCGCGGGGGAGGAAGAGCGAGAGAGGCGAGGAGGAGCGGGAGGGCAGCGGGCACGACGAGGGGAGGCGGAAGAAGAGCGGGGAGATGTCCCGCGCAGTCCAGAGAACCCGCCAAGCGCCCCCCCCCGGACCGAAAGAGGGACAGGGCCACAGACGCAAGAGCCGTGTCAGTGACGCACGAAATCGAGTGGGTCAGGCGATCGCAAACATGGATCAAGGGGGCGTGGATTAGCGAAGGGTCCCGTTTCCAGGGGAAATCGCGGATTTCCGCCGCCGAGCGAGGCGGCACCGGCCGCATTTTGGGGAGGGCACCTCCCCCGATCCATGGATTTGGCGACCGCGCGCCAAATCCATGGATCGCTAATCCGTGTTTGCGCGCCCCCGAGTGGGGGGCGTCAGGACAACCATCGGGACAACCAGCGGGACAACCATCGGTACAACTATCGGGGGAACCATCGGGACAACCATCGGGACAACCATGGGGACAACCATCGGGACAACCCCAACCATAGGGGCAACCGCCGGGACAACCGCCGGGACAACCGGGGGCCGCGCCTGGCGCGCGGGGGGCGGCGGTCTTTTTGGCAATAGATGGCTTCTACTAGGGATGGAACTCGCGCAGCTTCGCCTCGCCCGCGTGCGCGACGCGAACCGAAACCGAGCCCGATTTTCCGGTTGGGGCCACTTCCGTTCTCACCCCCCAAACTCCGATCGATATATCAATCTACATCTTTTAACCTATGAACCATCAATCTAACAATTCATTGTATACGTATATCAAATTTTCTCACAATCTTCCAATCTATCAATAGATCAATCGGTCAATCTATGAACCTATGTATATATCAATATGTCTCTCTCTATATTAATGTACTTAACTATATATATATGAAGCATCAGGAGAATCTATCAACCATTTCAATATATCAATATATGGTCTATCTATTTCAATACTTATCTATAGACATATCTTACAATCCATCAAGATATCAACATATCAACCGATCGATTTAAGAATGTATAGACATTTCAGTATTTTCTCTACATATCCACCTATCTATCTATCGATCTACCTATCTACCAACCAGCAGGACAACCATCAGCACAACAATCCGGACAACCATCGGGACAACCATCGGGACAACCATCGGGGCAACCATGGGGACAACCATCTAGACAACCATCGGGACAACCATCGGGACAACCATCGGGGCAACCATCGGGACAACCATCGGGGCAACGATCCAGACAGGCATCGGGACAGCCATTGGGACAACCTTCGGGACAACCATCGGGACAACATCTAACGTCATCTATCTATCTATCTATCAACCATCGGGACAACCATCGGGACAACCATCGAGACAACCATCGGGACAACCATCGGGACAACCATCGGGGCAACCATCGGGTCAACCATCGGGTGAACCATCGGGGCAACCACAACCATCGGGATAACCGCCGGGACATCCCTGGGGCCACGCCTGGCGTTCGGGTGTGTTCTCTATCTATCCATATGTCTGTAACTCTATCTGACAATTAATAAATCTAAGAATAGAGCAATCGATAGATTTATGCATCTATGTATATGTATCAATATATCCATACAGCTACCTACCTATCTATCTATCTACGCACCATCAGGATAGTATTGCAGTCTATCAATATATCGAGCTATTACCTGTCAACTAATCGATCAACCCATCAACACTATAGCAATCTATCAATATCAATACAGCAGTATATCAATCGACCAATCTGTGAATCTATCCATGTATCAAGCTATCAATCTAGTTTCCTACCTACCTATATCTCTATCTCTCTATAAACTTTCCGGACAATCATCAGGACAACCTTCCGGACAACCATTGGGACAACCAACGAGACAACCATCGGGACAACCATCAGGACAACTATCAGGACAACCGTTGAGACAACCATCGGGACAACCATCGGGACAACATCTATCTATCTATCTATCTATCAACCATCGGGACAACCATCGGGACAACCATCGGGACAACCATCGGGACAACCATCGGGACAACCGTCGGGACAACCATCGGGACAACCATCGAGACAACCATCGGGACAACCATCGAGACAACCATCGGGACAACCATCGGGACAACCATCGGGGCAACCACAACCATCGGGGCATCCGCTTGGACAACCCTGGGGCCACGCCCTGCACTCAGGGGGCGACCCTTGTGGCAATAGATAGTCCCTCCCATTGCATGAACTCGCGCAGTTTCGCCTCGCCCGCACGCGCGACACGAACCGAAACTGACACCGATTTCCCGATCGGGGTCGCTTCCGTTCACCCCCCCATTTTTTTTTTTTTTTTTTTTTTTTTTTTTCCCCCCTCTCTCTCTATATATATATATGTGTATAGATATTTATATATATGTAGTTGTGTCTGTATCTATATGTGTGTATATATGTATATATCTGTATCTCTCTCTCTCTCTCTCTCTTCAGAGAGAGAGAGAGAGAGACAGAGAGAGAGAGAGAGAGAAAAGAAACAGAGAGCGAGACAGAGAGGACACGAGAAAGGGAAGAGAGGGACTGAGGGAAGGGTCAGGACATGCTGATCGCGAAGGAGGAGACCTTCGGGCCCATCCTGTCGATCTTCAAGGTCAAGGGCAACAGCGACGACGAGGACCCCTGCACCCTGCGATTCCTCTGTCTCCTCTTACTCGCTCCTCGCTCCACCTCGGCTTACCGTTCGCTCCTCGTCGGCCTCCCCTTTGTTCCTCGCTCCTCGTTCTTCACCCCTTCCTCCTTCCCGCCCCGTCTGGCTTCCCCTCGTCCGCCCGTTTCCCCCCTTTCGGGCTCGCCCTCCCCCTTCGTCTGCTGCTGCTGCTGCTGCTGCTCCTCTTCCTCCTCCTCCTGTTCCTTCTCCTCCTCCCTCTCCCGCCCCTCTTACTATTCCCCCTGCTGCCCCCCCCTCCCCCTGCCCCTTTCGTTCCCCGTGCCCAGCTTGCTTGCCATGCTTCCCTCCCTCCCCACGAGGGTGTGTAGGGCACAGGAGGAGGAGGAGGAGGAGGAGGAGGAGGAGGAGGAGGAGGAGGAGGAGGAGGAGGAGGAGGAGGAGGACAAGGAGGAGGAGGAGGAGGACAAGGAGGAGGAGGAGGATTACCAAAGTAAACCCAAGATGCATCAGCGATGCTGCAATCCACCCTCCCGTCCCCAGAACCCCCCCCTATCATAGATTTTTTGCGAGCCTCCATTTGTGCTGCAATAACCGCCTCATTGAAAGACCAGTTCACTTTGGGCCTGCTATTCATGCGATCCCTGTTTTGAAGAGAAGCTGCCTTGTATCCCTCTAACAGTTAGTATTGACAACGAGAGGTATTGATCATGCAATTCAACGAGGTGTCCAGCGAGACCGCCGTTTTGAACATCCACCCCCATCTCACTTCGAGGAAGTCTCGAGCGAGAGGCCCACTCTGAAGAGGAGCAGCCCTCCGCCCGTTCGGCTGCTTCAGGCCCCCCTTCCGTGTGACTGTGAAGGGATTTCCAGTGCGAGCGTGCGCGGCGCTGAGGCGATGCCCGCATCTTTTTGTGAAGCAGGCATCCATCTGTGTCACGGCTGCACGCCTTAGCAGCAAGTGTGCGCGGTGCCGAGGCGGTCGCTCCGTTTTGAAAACCTGCACGCCGTCCGCCCCTCGCTGTAGAGATCGGCAGCCCTTGCGACGAGTGTGCGCTGCGGCGGCTGCTGCATGTCGGAGACGTGCCCGGCTCCCTGCCTCCCCGGAATCTCGGGGGCGGAGAAGAGGGGGGTGATGGCTAGGGGGGGGGTGGATGTCATGGCGGGGGCCATGCTATTTTCCCAGAGTTCATGGTGCCTCTTCTTATTTCATTGCGTCCCTGGCCCCCCCGCTGGGCCGCGCACGTGCCGCCAGTCATGATTTGCACCCCCCCCTCTTGGCCGCTCCCCAGAATCCCGCGCAGGAGCCTTCACTGCAGGATAGGCGCGCCCTTGAGGGACGGTCGCCCCAGGGCCCTGCCGTTCCGGCGGCACAGGCCGGCCTGAAGAGGAGCCGCCGTCCGTGCTTCTAGGCTCCAGGACGGCGACGGGGAGGTCTACGGGGCCACATGCGAACCCTACCCCTACCCCCCACGATGTCATGTCTGAGGGGGAGGGTGGGGCAGGGGTTCGCATGTGGCCACCTAATGTCTACGACATGTCCTGCGAGAGCCCGATTTTGAGGACGACCCGCGCTCATTCCTTGCATGTGCTTCCGAAGGCGTATGGCCACCCGCAAGGACGAAGTTGGAAGTGGGTCTGCCGATTTGAAGACGAGCCACACGTGCAGCTGTTGCACAATTTTCGGTTCCCGATCGTAGGGATTCAGTGAGCATTCAGCGAAAGTTCTTTTTGGAAAATCAAGCGCCCCTTATGTAGCTGGTGGTAACTTTGAAGACGAACGTGCGTGGCGCTCAGGCGAGAACTGCATTTTGCAAACCGCTCCATCCGTGTAATTGTAGGACTATTTTAAGACGAATGCGCGCGGCGCTAAGGCGAGAGCCACAGGTTGCAAAGGAACTGCCCTCCATCCGAGCAATATGAATTGAAGCTTTTAAAGAGGAAGGAACTAGGCGCGCTAAGGCGAGAGCAACAACCTTTGAACTAACTCTTAAGACGAATGTGCGCGGCGCTGCGGCGAAAACCACATTTTGAGCGGAGCCTGGAACAGGCGCAAGGACCCCCCTGCAGGGCGCAGAGAGGAGCGCAGCAGTTGTGACCGCGTTCGCTCCTCCTGCTTCTGCCCTTCTCTTGTGAGCACTGGCGAACATTCCAGCAGGAACGCGGGAACCCTTTTCCCGGTCACCAGGTGCCTTGCCCGGTTTGCCAGCCGCAGGGGTGCAAAGGGGGGCGGCCTCGGGACCCGCGAGGATCGAATGCTTCGTGGTCGTCCCTGGCCCCCCTCGGGGGCCCCTTCGGGCGGCGCCGCGCCCGTCGGGCAGGCCGTGCGCATCGCCAACAACTGCGCGTTCGCGCTGGGCTCCTGCGCCATGTCCGCGGAGACGCCGCCGCGCCCGCCGCGCGCAGCAGAGCCGCCCCGGGGGGATCGGGCTGCGGAGGCTCGCAGGATCGGACTGGAGGGCGCCATCGGTCGGTCTCGTTTATCCGATCCCCATCCCCATCCCCATCCCCTGCGAGACCCTCTTCAAAACTCACCACCCCAGCTGGGGATGCACCCCTCGAGACCCGAAGGGCACGACCCATATCCCCATCTGAGGGGGGTAGATCGGCCAGTGGGGCCCCAGGCCACGCCGCTGGGGAGGGGGGTCGGTTAAACGATACTCGATCAGAGGAGGAAGCGGTGCCGCTGCCGCTGCCCTCTGCCTCGGTTTCGCGTCTCTTGGCCTCCCGGGAGGCCCTCGCCGCCGCCGCTGGCTTCGCCTCGAACCACTCCCGGTCGGAGCGCACCCCGGGAGAGGTCCGGGGGCCAGCGGCATCGGCACCTCTGGGCCCCTTTTGGGGTCCTCGTGGTGCCTCTCGAGGCACCCTTGGGGCTCTTTTGGAGGGCCTTGGGGCCCTCTTGGGGCTCGGGGGGGGGTCTGGGAGGTCTCTTGGGGCCATCTTGGAGGCTACGGCTCAAAAAGTAGCGCTGCGTCCAGTGTTCCCCCCCCCCCGTCGGAACCCAAAACGTCGCCTCTTGGGGCCCTCTTGGGCCGCTGTTGAGGCGCCCTTCGGCCCGTCTTGGGCCTCTCTGGGGCCTGTCTTGGGGCTCTCTTGGGCCATCTTTGGGGCGGGGCCAGCTTGAAGCTTCAAAAGCCGCGGATTGGCGAGAAGGCAAACCACATTGATTTTCCTCAGGCTTTGAAGGTTTTTGGCCTCTCGGGGGCGTCCTTGGGCGGCTCCGTGGCCACTTGGGGCCGTCTTGGGGCGGTCTTGAAGCCTCGTGTAGGCTTGCTAGGAGCTATCTTGAGTCATCGAGGGCTATCTTGAGCGATCTTGGAGGTCATCTTGAGCTCACTTGGGCTGTCTTCGCCCAAAAGAGACGCTCCAACAACCCGCGCCCCCCCCTCAGGCCCAGGGGGAGGGGGTATGGGGGAGGGTTGAACCCTCCCCGAAGGGGAAGAAGGGGGTGGACCAGAACGGGCTCTCTAAACCACCTCCGCCCTGAAGGCTGGTGGGATTTACGATGGATCGTGGTCCTTGGGGCGCGGACGCAGTGTAATTTACGAGGGATCCTGGCCCTGGGTCGGGGACGTCCCGTGGCACGTTCCCTGACGCGTTCCTTGGTACGCCCCCTGGCGCGTCGCCTGCACGTTCCTGGCACGTTCCGTGGCGCGTCCTGTGGCGAGTTTCCCTGGCACGTCGCGCGGCGCGTCCCCTGGCACGTCCCGTGGCACGTCCATTGGCACGTTCCGTAGCGCATCCCCTTGGCGCGTCCCGCGGTGCGTGCCCATGGCGTGTCCCCTGGCACGTCCCCTGGCGCGCCCTTTGGGACGTTCCGCGGCGCGTCCCCCATGGCATGTCCCCCTGGCATCGGCTAGTTGCATATGCAATTGAGGTCCTTCGAAACGGTTCCATGCATCGCAGTTCTCAATCCCTTCCTGGTTCGTGGGTTACTAATGTTTTGTTTTTCCCAACCATCCTGTGGTGTTGAGTCCTCGTTTTGAAGAGAGAGCGCCCCGCGTCAACTCCTTTCTTCCTCCTCCCCCTCCTCAGTCCTCCCACCATGCGCATCGCCGTCATCATCGTCATCATCATCGTCATCATCATCATACTCATCATCATCATCATCATCATCATCATCATCATCATCATCATCATCATCATCATCATCATCATCATCATCATCATCACCGTCGTCATCATCATCAGACTCATCATCAGAGCCACTTTGGCTCAAGCACCTGCTTGTCCGTGGCTTCTTCGGCGCTCGGGCGCCGCGCCACTGCTTCCCCTCTTTTCATTGTCGCTCGGCCCGCTGCCTCATCGCCGATGGTGGTGGCCGCGCGTATCGCCTGGCTTCGGGATCGTGTCGCTGCAGGTGTGGCGTGTGGCGTTCACCTTGGTGCGGCGCGGGACCCCGCCAAGTGCAAGCTCAAGTTCATCCTGAACCCTGGCGGCGTCGCAACATCGGCGACTACCCGGGACATGAACCTGCGCATGCTGGACTTGGTTTCCACTTTGGTCGTGGATCATATCGCAGTGGATCGTAGGCATCGGTTATCAGATGGCCGCGTGGAGGCTTGCGTTTGGCTTCGTCAGGCTGGCGCTCTTCCTGGTGGTCCTCCTGGAGCTGCACATGATGATGATGATGATGATGATGATGATGATGATGATGATGATGCTGGTGATGATGATGGTGATGGTGATGATGATGGCGATGATGATGATGAGGAGGAGGATGATGATGATGATGATGGTGATGATCCTCCTGACCCAGCTGACGATCTCGATCCTCGGGAGCGTGGGCCTCGCCGTCGAGATCGTTCACCTCCTCCTCCTGGTCCTCCTGTTCGTCCTGACCCTTGGCACACTCAGAGTGGCACGGACCCTTGGTCTGGTGGGCTGCATCGTGGTCCCAAGGCTCCTCGGCATGGTGTGCGTGCTTTGGCAAGCGAAGCTGTCCTTTGTCCTGGTGATGGCGTCCTTCCTCCTGCTGGTGCCGTTCGCCATGGCCATCCTGCTGCAGTGGCCACCTTTCCTGCTGGTGCTCAAGCTGTTCATCGGCTTCCTGTTTTCCCTCGGCTTCCTGTTGATGCCGTCGCCTCTCCTCCTGACGCCGTTCGACATCATCTACCTGCTGGTGGTGCCGTCGCTGTCCTACGTCCTGTTCCTGGCGTCGTTCCTCCTGCTGGTGCCGTTCATCATGGTCATCCTGCTGCATATTCCGTCCCTCCTGCTGGTGGTGCCATTGATTGTGATCGTCTTTATGTTCCTGGCCTGTTGGCCTGGCTGGCCGGAGTTCTTCACCTTCCTGGTGCTCCTTACGGTGTCGACGTCGACCCGTGCCTATGGAGGGAGCCGCTGCCAGAGGTGCCTGGCTTCCCATAGCTTCTGGTGGCGTCTGCTGGCGCGAGGGTCGTGGAGCATATCGTGGTACCTCACTGCGTGGCGGGCTACATCGACAAGTTGGATGTCAGATGTTCTGCGGCTTCTGAATCTCGCCGCGTGCGGGCCTATGTATCTAGGCGCTTGGGTTCCTGTTGCCGCGCTGCTGAAGATCGGCGCAAGTCGAGCTTCAGACATCTTTCGCTGATGGCTGCCCAACTTGGGCATGAGGCTGCCCGTTTCCAGATCGAGCTCGATTCGACGCAGGTCGCGATACAGAGACAGAACATGCAAGTGCAGCTAATGCTGCTGGTGGCTGGTGGGATTAGGAACGAGTGGCTGCTTCGCACCCTTCGAAACAATCCTGCGCACCCGCCTGCTGACTCGTAGCCCTCTTGCCTGGTAGCTTAGTTATCTGGCAACGCTTGTTTGTCGAGTGCACGCCTTCTCCTGTGAAAAGGCTGTTTTGATTGGCCATCGTCCACTGATTGGACGTTTTTCGTCACCACCGTTATCGCTTTACTACAGATTGAAGCAAGAACAAGGCTACTGCAGAGTGCGCCGGGTAAAACAATCATCATAATCGTCATCATCATCATCAGCCGCATTATTGTCGTCGTTATCGCCGTCGTCACCTCCATCATCATCATCATCATCATCGTCATCATCATCATTATCATCATCATCATCTTCATCATCATCACCAACAGTATCATCATCATCGTCATCATCATCAGCGTCATCGTCAGCATAGTTATTGGCATCGTCATCATCATCGTCGTCATCATCGCCGTCATCGTCTCCGTCATCGCCATCAGCGTCGGCACACCCCTCATACGTTTCGTGGCCCCGTAGGGAGCCCTGCCGAAGGCCGCAGTGGCGGTGTCCACATGCGCCCGCGCCACCCATTTTGGCACACCCCTCACACGGTTCGTGGCCCCAGAGGAAGCTTCACCGAAGGCCCCAGTGGCGGTGTCCACATGCGTCCGCGCCACCCATCTCGGCATTTCTGGGCAACCCCCGCACGTTTCGTGGCCCCATTGGGAGCTCCACCGAAGGCCCTTGTGGCGGTGTCCAGATGCGTCCGCCCCACCCATTTCGGCACACCCCACACGCGCTTCGTGGCCCCATAGGGAACTCCACCGAAGGCCAGTGTGGCGGTGTCCAGATGCGTCCGCGCCACCCACTTCGGCACAATCCACACGCGCTTCGTAGCCCCATAGGGAAGCTCCACCGAAGGCCCCAGTGGCGGTGTTCCTTCGTCCGCGCCACCCATGTCGGCTCACCCCTCACACGTTTCGTGGCCCCATAGGGAGCTCCACCGAAGGCCGCATTGGGGGTGTCCACATGCGTCTGCGCCACCCATTTCGGGTCACCCCTCACACGGTTCGTGGCCCCATTGGGAGATCCACCGGAAACAATATTCACATATGATGTATTCACAACTGCATATGGTTGGGTCTTTCGCCAGGATCATTTAAAAACGAATGCGCGCGGCGCTAAAGCGGAAACCACGTTTTGTAAGCAACCCGTCCTCCACCTGTGATTTTGTTGCCCATGTCAAGCTTCATGATCACAAATGACAAGGAACTCTCAGGCGAAACGCCCGTCCCGCCTGTCCGATTGGCCTCAGGGTGCGACAGGGGGGAAGGAAAATAATGGAGGACGAGGAGGAAGGAGGAAGATGAGGAGGAGGGAGGAAGGAATCAGGAGTCAGGAGTCAGGAGAAGGGAGGAGTGAGGATGGAAGGAGGAGGAGGGGAGGAGGGAGGAGGAGAGGGAAGGAGGAAACACGGAGGAGGGAGGAGGGAGGAGAAGGCAAAACACTGGAGACGGATAGGGCGGGGGGGCGCCCGCAGGACCAGGCCCGGGCCGCGAGGATCTGCGCCAGGCTCGAGGCCCGGGCCCGCGCCGGCCCCGCGGCGGCTCTCGGCGGCCCGCGGCCGCGGCACGGAGCGCGGCGGCGTCGGCGCCGCCCTGGCCCAGCGGCTCGTCCGTCGGGCGCGCGGTCAGAGCGCGGCCCACCGCGTCTGCCACCGCTGCGTTCCAGAGCATCGCGGGGAGGGGAGGGGAGGAGGAGGAGGAGGAGGAGGAGGAGGAGGAGGAGGAGAGAGGAGGAGGAGGAGGAGGAGGAGGAGGAGGAGGAGGAGGAGAGAGGGAGAGGGAGGAGGAGGAGGAGGAGGAGGAGGAGGAGGAGAGGAGGAGGAGGAGGAGGAGGAGGAGGGGAGGAGGAGAGGAGGAGGAGGAGGAGGGCGGAGGCGGAGGCGGAGGCGGAGGCGGAGGGAGGAGGAGGAGGAGGAGGAGGAGGAGGAGGAGGAGGAGGAGGAGGAGGAGGAGGAGGAGGGAGGAGGAGGAGGGAGGAGGAGGAGGAGGAGGAGGAGGAGGGAGGAGGAGGAGGAGGAGGAGGAGGAGGAGGAGAGGAGGAGGAGGAGGAGGAGGAGGAGGGGGGGGCCTTACGGGCGGCTGGCCCCTGTATGTGGCGCCGTGAAGAATGCCACTCCTCGGTGGTGTCTGATTCCCCTGACTGGGGGGACAGAGGTGGTGGGCACCAACCGAGAGGGGCTTGTGAGCTGCCCCTGTCCGAGAGGGCAAAAGAGGCGGCCACCTTTCGAGAAACAGCTGTAGAGGGCGACTCGACCCCTTAGGGGTCGAGTTGCCTGCTTGGGCAAGCGAGGGGGATGGAAGGGTCGGAAGGTGGGGGACTGCGCTGGAGCATCCAGCGAGAAACTGGGAGGACGGGTGGTAGAATGTCGGGTTTGCGGAGAAGAGTACGTTGGTGGATAAGCCAGCGGCGGGGGACAGGGAGAAAGAGGGCGAAGGAAGAAGAGAGAGGGAGAGAGAAAGAGAGAGAGAGAGAGAGGGAGAGAGAGAGAGAGAGAGGGAGAGAGAGAGAGAAGAGCGGCAAGTCGCGAGAGGAAGACGGAGGGAGAGGGAGAGCAAACCGCAAGAAACACGAATACGACAGCGAGGCACGAATCGATACAGTAAGAGCGATTGGGACTCTTCGATAGGAAGTAAGCGTATGCCTGATGTCACAATATTTTGGACCACGCAAGGTGGATGAGTGTCCGGACAATGGGAATGATATCGGCAGCGGGATCACCGAGCTTTCCATATGAATTGGCATAAGTGTGAGCCACTCAATAGCCGGATGGTCGAGGATGATCGGGCAGCGGGTAGGGAGGCAAGACGCAGGACATGTAGAAGAGGATGGAGAAGAAAGATCACGGGCGAGTGTTGGAAGGGGAGAAAAGTGGTAGTAGCGCAAGAGGGCATAGGCGACAGGCCGGGACTGGCCAGGGTAGTTGCACGTCTTTCAATCTCAATCCATATAGTTGCGATGTGTGTTCGGGTTTGCTGGGATGACAATTCACCGCGGCCCGGCACAGGCTGCAGCGGTGCGAAGTTGAAACATGCAAGTGGCTGAACAGAGATTGTGGGGTTTCCCCTCGCGTCCTCATCTCAGAAGGCGTTGCATCAAGTGTGCATGTGTGGCAGTTGGACTTGCTGAATCAACGTGCGCGGGGAGATCAGCTCCGAACAATATCCAGTGTCCGCTGCCTCACGGGGGCGGCCCTCTGAAAAATTGTGGGGAGTGAGGAAGGAGGTGTCGAGTGATAGGGTGGGGGAGACGACATAATAGATCGTTGGGCTGGGTGAAACGGTTGGGCGAGGCCTACCCGCCAATCGCAAGCTCGATGAGATCGCGCCCTTAATGCTGCTCTGTCATGGGGCTCCCCTTCGCGAGAGCCGAGGCTGAGTGGTGATGTAGTACACATGGCTTTTCGGCGAAGGTGTACGGGGCCTAGAAATCGTAGAAACGGGCCCGAATGTCTGGAGCAAGGGGTTGCCGTTGAAGTCCCGAGAACTGTCCCGCCTGACCGACGGGGTGATGCTCTGGGCCCGAGTGCCTGCGCCATGCGCAGGATATTTGGGAAAAAGACTCCTAGCATGGTTTCGCCAGGCTCTTAGGGTTTCTCGGGCATACCCCCTGAGGCTGCCCTGGGTCTTCCTCTTGGATGCCTTGCGCGACTTCCTGGAACCTTATTCAGCGCCTCCAGAAGCATCCGCCAGGAAGTACGCTCCCATTTGGTGACCCTCGCGGGATGATGTCCATCCTCATCCGATCTTGTGAGGTTGCCTTCGACTGTGCTAGAACCTAAGAGCGCGCGAAATGCGCGCGTGGTTCTAGTGTGTAGACTTGTATAGATGTGTATCTCTATAATACGTGTATCTATACACTATGATATATACATGTGTATATACACATACATATGTCGGCCGTTATTGTTTGTTTCTCTCTCTCTCTCTATATATATATAGATGCACACCCTCTCTACTCTGTTTCTCTCTACTCTTTTCCCCTCTCAACTACATCTACTCTCTCTCTCTCTCTGTTATCTCTTCTCTCTCTACTCCCTCTCTCTCTCACTCTCTCTCCCCTTATCTCTCTCCCCCTTCGGGGCAGGGGAAGGGATGGGACACACCCGTCTAGTTCTATCTGGCCCTGTCCTCCTCCATTGCAGCGCCACGAATGCCACATGCGCGTCCTGTCGCTAATTCTCGTCGCTCGGGTCGATCATCCCTGCGGCCCGCAGTCCGGCATGACTAGTGTCAACGACGCAGGGGGGACGACGTACCTGAGCCAGTCCTTGCCATTCGGTGGCTTCAAGGAGACGTGCGGAGTTGAACGACTTGGGGGATGAGGATCAGGATGCTGATGCTGATGCTGATGACGATGATGCTGATGATGATGAGGATGATGATAAGGGTGATGATGATGATGATTATGATGATGATGATGATGATGATGATGATGATGATGATGATGATGATGATGATGATGATGATGATGATGCTGATGCTGATGATGATGCTGCTGCTGATGATGATGTTAATCATGACGATGACGATGACGATAATGAGGATGATGACGATTGGTGTTGGTGGTGGTGATCATGATGATAATGACGGTGGTGGTGGTGATGGTGATGATGACGAGGCTGATGATGAGGCTGATACTGATGATGATAATGATGATGATGATGATGATGATGATGATGATGTTGTTGTTGTTGTTGTTGATGACGATGATGCTGATTATTGTGCTGCTGATGGTGTTGCTGATGCTGATGCTGATCATGAAAACCAGGGTGATGATGAGGAAGACGAGAGGGAAGCGGATGAGAAGGATACGGTGAGCTGGATGATGATGATAATGCTGATGATGATGCTTGTTTTTTGTTGTTGATGATGATGCTCATGCTGCTGGTGGTGGTGATGATCATGCTGACGACCAATCTGATAATACTGAGGATAATTTTCGTGCGTCGGCAGCAAGATGAGATAGAGCATGATGAAGCAGCTTTATGGCGATGGTTGTGGTGTGCTGGTGAAGATGAGATGATGAGTCTGATGGCGATGATGGATCATGGATGATGGACGCTTGACGGTGGTAATGATGATGCTGATGATGCTGTTGTAAATGATGGCGAGCGGATGCGGATGAGGATGATGATGATGATGATGGCGATGCTGATGATGATGTTCGTGCTGATTGTGGTTGTGATGTTGATGATGCTGATGATGGTGATGCTGATGATGATGATGAGGACGATGATGACGATCATGATGCTGATGATTATGATGATGATGCTGATGATGATGATGATGATGATGAGGACGATGTTGATGATGCCGACGAGGATGATGATGCGGATGAGGATGAGGAGGATGCTGATCATGATGATGATTAGGCTAATGGTGATGGTGTTGGTGATGGTGATAGTGATGGTGATGGTGATGATGATGATGATGATGATACTGATGCTGATGATGATGATGATGATGATGATGATGATGATGATGGTGGCGGTGGTTATAGTGATGGTGATGGTGGTGGTGGTGATGGTGATGGTGCTGGTGGTGGTGGTGATGCTGAGGATGATGCATATGATGATGAGGACTATAGCGATGATGATTGGGGTGTCGCTGATGATGGTGATGCTGATGATGATGCTGAGGATGATGATGCTGCTGATGATGATGCTGATGATGCTAATGATGATGATGATGATGATGCTGATGATGATGATGCTGATCATGATGATGATGCTGCTGATGATGCTGATGCTGATGCTGATGCTGATGCTGAGGCTGGGGATGATGCTGATGATGATGTTGATGATGATGATGATGATGATGATGATGATGATGATGATGATAAAGGCGCCTGCGGCAATCTGACCGTGCCAGCGATACACTTTGTGCGATGACACTTCGAGCACCGCCCGTGAGGCCGTCACATGTGACACTTTTTGAGGAGCTCTCGTGGGGGATGTGGGGCAGACCTGGAGGTCCTGCGGGGCCCTCTTCGGTCGTCTTGGGACCCTCTTGGGCAGTCTCTGGACCCTCTTCGGCCATCTTGTTGCTATGTCGGCCGTGGGTCTCTTGGGACCGTCGTGGAGCCATCTAAGGCCGTCTTGGGTCCGTCTAGATGCACTCTTGGGCCAGCTTAAAGGTTTCTCGGGGCCACCTTGGGCTGTCTACATGGGCTCTCTTGGACCGTCCTGTGCTGTCAGCCTGGCCATTTTTGGCTTTCGAAGGCAGCCTTTGGGAGCGATACGCGACCGAAGAGCGTGAAAAGCGAACCACACCGAAATAATCGGAGGGACATCTATGTTTTTGGCCTTGCGGGGCCCTCCCAGAGAGCGTCTTGGGTGTCTTGGAAGCCTCTTGGGGTCTCTTGGGGCCTCTAGGGTGCTCTTGGGGGTCTTCTTGAGATCGGTCGGGTCGCTCTTGGGGCAATGTTCGCTGGGCCGTCTTGAAGCCCTGTTGTGCATCTTGGACCCTTTGGAGAGTGCGTCGGGGCGCTCGGGCGATCCCGAGAGGGGAGGGC